GCTCAGCTAGAACAGAAAGAATGTATGGCAATTGCTGAGATAATTATTTAGGAGAAAGAATTTCCTGCTATTTACTAAGAAACTTGCTAGATCTAGGTCTCCTTGAAGTTTACTATTAAAGAAGAAACAGGAAAGATCTTATGGGAAAGTTAAGGCCTCTATAAAAATAGGTAATGGTTAATTGGTGACAAACATCGAAACCCAAACCCATTGTATTCCTTAGAGATAAGCCGGAGACAAATGTCTATCAGGTGCCCAGCTGGTGACCACCCAAGAAAGAAGCCCTGCAGCAAGATTGTGTAACCTTTTGCCCTTTCTCATGGAGACTTTTGCTATAAAAGTTTGTTATCCTCTGCATTAAATCACACTCAGCATCCACTCCTCTTGTGTGTGAGTTGTCTGTTTGCCATCTCCCCATCCTATTCCAGGTTCCTCCCTTAGGTGTCCTCCGTCGTCCCGACAGAACCCGGTCCGCGGCAGGTTGCTTCTACATTTTGTCTGTCAATCACGCTGCTATGGATGTGCATGTACAAATACCTGTTCCATTGTTTCTCTTTCATTTCTGTTGGCCATAGACTCAGAATTGGAATCAATGAGTCATACCATAACCGTTTAATTTTTTGAGGCATCACCATATCAATTTCTACAGTACATACACCATTTTACATTTTACTAGTGATGCACACATATTCCAAACCCTCCATATCCTTTCCAACATTTGTTATTTTTCTCTTTTGTTTGTAACAGCTATCCTAGGACATGTGAAATGATATTGCAGTTTTGATGGCATTTTCCTAATGACTAGTGATGCTGCCTGTGAAAATACAAACACAGGCAAGTACTGTACGTTCACCAACAGAACTCAAATGGATATTCTATGCACTGCCCTCCTCGGTCTGCATCAGAAAACTCACATCTAATCCTCCACATTCTTTCTCCTTCTCTGCCAAGATACAGATGAACAAAGACACATGTCAAAGTGTTCAAGGTGTCGGAATCCTTGAATCACTGCTTGGAAGATTACCACCTATCCATCACAAACACCCATCCTAGACCTTATGTCAGCAAGAAATATATTGGTATTGCATTTGAGCCTAACCATTTCTAGTGCTTTTGGAGAAGGGAGTGGGAAATATAGTAGATTACAATCTTAGACAATACTGTTAACCACTTTGAAACAAGGGGAACTATAATTAAGAACTATGTCACTCTATTCATCATCTTGTCAAAATGAAGTTTCTTTTTAACAATCAGATCGGAGGTGTGGCTCAAGTGGCAGAGCGCCAGCTGTAACATTTTATAAAGCAACAACTTGCTTAACATGAAAAGACTGTATGATTTTAACTTCTCAGGGAAACATGGATAACTGATGCATTTGACCTGTTCTTTTACTAATAATGTTCAGAAATCAAAGCTAACAGGTTAGACAGCCTGGAACAAAATAGTAATTTCTATATACTTAGGCTTTTGAAGAAAAATATCCACATTATCTGTGTTGCTGTTGTTTTTAATGTACTATGTGATTTTTTTTGTTTCTTGTATATGTTCTTCCCCCACAGTATAAGCTCTGTTGTCACTGTTTTTGACTCCGGTGCCCTGCATCTTGTATATACATTTTTATAATTAGAGGAGGGAAGGGGAAATAACAAAATGCTGAAACAAGGATACAGGTCGACCTATTGTAACAATAAGATATAGAAGACACTATGCTGAAAATGAACTTTACAACTTGGGGAGGAGGGCAGGAGGGAGGAGTTGGGGAGGTGGGGAGAGCAGGGATAGTAGGGGAAAAATAAAGGCGAGGATAACAATGCTCCATAGGAAATGTACGCAGTACCTTACTCATGTAACTGTAACCCCTCTGAACAGTATCTTTACAATAAAAAATATTTTTTTAAAGAGAGTCCACATTAAACAAAGATTTATCACAATGTATTTCCTCCATACTTAACAACATTACCATTCCTTCTGGTCCATACATCCTCTCCAGGTTTGCTTGTTCCAGGTCTTCACATGTTGGCCAGGCATGGGTAGCTCATGCCTATTAAAGAAGCTGAGATCTGGGAATCATAGTTTAAAGCCAACCCACACCAAAAAAAGTCTGAAAGACTCTTATCTCCAATTAACCAGTAAAAAGCCAAAAAGAAGTATGGCATGAGCGTAAGAGAGCCAGCTTTGAGAGAAAAAGACCAAGCGAGAGCACAAGGCCCTGGGTACCAGTACATATGCACACACATGCACATACACTGCTAACTTAGCTTAGAAGTAGGCAAAATGAAAACTGCAAGGGGCCAAACCATAAATAGTTTAGGCTTTATAGGACATATAGGCAAGGCTACATATATTCAACTCTGCTGCTGTAGAATGAAAGCAGCCAGGGGCAATATACAAATGAATAAACACAATGGTCCCAAGAAAATAAAACATACACACACACAAAAAGATAGTGGGAAATATTTGGCCCTTTAACTGGAGTTTTGCTTAACCTTGAACTACTGTGATCTATACTGCATCCACCCTACCTGTCACCCACAATTCACCTTCATTAAAGCATGTATTTCTTTTGGCTTCATTGTTATTTCTGGACTCAGAGAGATTATCTCAGTATATAGTTGCAATTCTCTAGGTACAATTATTTATCTCCACAAAGGTACAATGGGGCTTCTAAGTTACCTGGCAAAAAATTTTAAATGCACCAAAAATTGGCTAATTTTCATAAAGCTTGCAGTCAATTCTAATACAAACTATCAAGGCTATCATCATTAAATAAGATCTTTGTGCTAACATTAGTTGACCTTTGTAAAAACTAAAAAGCCTAATTGTGACTTTATGATGCTGAGTGCCCCTTTAGTGAATTCTTATTGAGTTTATTGAGTTCTTATTCAAGTTTAGCACAGCTGTTGAAGAGCGTAAAAGTGAAAGCATGTTCTATTAGCAAAAACAAATCTTATCAGTATCAGTACAATCTTTTTTGACAAGAACAGAAACTTGGCAACTAACAGGTAACTAAATGTCTTCAAAATACCATATGTGAGTACACACAGCACACACATAATCACTATCCTTGCCAAATGGGAAAATATATCATTCCCAGCCAGCCCACAGGCCACATGCAAGTCTCATTCATCTATTAAATCTCTTCCAGCCCTCCTCAATAAGCTCTGTGTCTCCACGCTCCTGTGACTTAGGGTTGTATATCCAAAGCCAGTCAGTGATTATGCATTAGTTACTTGTCTCTGCTAGCAGAAACTGGAGACTGTACACATATCCACCCATGTAATTTAGAAAAAAATTATCATCCACAGCTTGGGAATAAATTCGGACTGATGCAAATTAAACTAATTTTTGCACTTCAAACCCATATAAACAACTATGAAGAATTCAAATGCATGTCACTGTGAACTAGAAGATAAAGAAAAGATTAACAATTAATAGCCATATGACTGACTACTGATAGTATAAAGTGTTTCCTCCACAAATTCTTACATAATCTGCACAATGCTTTAGAGATACAATATAGTATGACCCAATTGTACCCACAGGAAAATGCAGCGTGGAGAGGTAAATAATTTCCCATGATTTCCCAGGTAGAAGGTAGCAAAAGTAAGTGCCCTGGTTTTGTGTGTGTATTGGTCCTGGGGCTTGTACTCAGGGCCTGTGTGCATGCGTGTGTGCGTACATACGTGTGTGTACGTGTGTGTGTGTTGGTCCTGGGGCTTGAACTCAGGGCCTGGCTACTGTCCCTGAGTTTTTGAGTGCCGTGTATGTGTGTGTGTGTGTGTGTGTGTGTCTCTACTGTCCCTGAGTTTTTGAGTGCCCTGGGTGTGTGTGTGTGTCTACTGTCCCTGAGTTTTTGAGTGCCCTGTGTGTGTGTGTGTGTGTGTGTGTGTCAGGGCCTGGCTACTGTCCCTGAGTTTTTGAGTGCCATGTATGTGTGTGTGTGTCTACTGTCCCTGAGTTTTTGAGTGCCCTGGGTGTGTGTGTGTGTGTTTTGGTCCTGGGGCTTGAACTCAGGGCCTGGCTACTGTTCCTGAGTTTGAGTGCCCTGGGTGTGTGTGTGTGTGTGTGTGTGTGTGTGTGTGTGTGTGTGTGTGTGTGTGTGTGTTTTGGTCCTGGGGCTTGAACTCAGTGCCCTGGGTGTGTGTGTGTGTGTGTGTGTGTGTGTGTGTGTGTGTGTGTGTGTGTGTGTGTGTGTGTGTGTGTGTGTGTGTGTGTGTGTGTGTGTGTGTGTGTGTGTGTGTTTTGGTCCTGGGGCTTGAACTCAGGGCCTGGCTACTGTTCCTGAGTTTTTGGGCTCTAGGCAAGCACTCTATCTCTTGAGCCACAGTTTTACCCCCCAGCTTTTTGGTGGTTAATTGGAGATAAGAATCTCACAGAAGCTGGGTGCTGGTGGCTCATGCCTGTAATCCTAGCTACTCAGGAGGCTGAGATCTGAGGATCGCGGTTCAAAGCCAGTCTGGGCAGGAGAGACCGTGAGACTCCTATCTCCAATAAACCACCAGAAAACCGGAAGTGGCACTGTAGCTCAAGTGGTAGAGCGCTCGCCTTGAGCTGAGGGACAGTGCCCAGACCCAGAGTTCAAGCCCCACGGCTGACCAAAAAAAAAAAAAGAAAACCAGAAGTGGCACTGTGGCTTAAGTGGTAGAGCACTCGCCTTGAGCTCAAGAATGCAGGGACAGCGCCCAAGCCCAGAGTTCAAGCCCCACAGCTGACAAAAGAAGGAAGGAAGGGAGAAAGGGAGGAAAGGAGGAAGGGAGGGAGGGAGGGAGAGAGAAAGAGAGAAAGAGAGAAAGAAAGAAAGAGAGAAAGAGAGAGAGAAAGAGAAGTTCCCTGTTTGGATGGCTTTGAACCCTGAGTAGCTAGGATTACAGACATGATCCACTGATGCCCAGCTGTGCTCATCTTCTATCTGCTATGCAATTAAATTGGCAAAGAAAAGATTTTTAATTGATCAGCTATCACAGAATAATATATTTTACCTCATTAATGTTAAAAACTAGAAGACAATGAAGCCATGTCCTCAGATTATTTTCAAACTACAATTCAGTACAAAGAATCAGAAATGAGTGTGGCCAGACATGATGGTACACACCTGTAATCCTAGCTGAGGCGGTTGGGGCAGGTGGACTGATTTGAGTACAGGAGTTTGAGGCCACATACAAACAAAAAAAGTATGCGAATAAATGCGAATAAAGGCATTCTTAAACAAGTCTGAAACACGCTTGCCTTCTCTATGCATTCTCTGGAAACTGAGAATTTAGAAGAGAATGAACTCCACCAGAAGGAGGTCATCTAAGTAGAACTGTCACCCTAAAACAAGGAATCCTGGAGAGGAAAACATTGGTGAACCAGCATACCCCGGGCAACTGGAAGTCAGGCAGGTGTTCTTTGTTTCCTCCAGGAAAACACAGAATAGTGATGCGCTTTTATTAACTGGAATTTTGAATAGAAAAAGCATTACACTTTTAAAAAAAAAGATTGTTTCTGTACAATATTCAAACAAAAGAAAGTAAACCATGGGGTGAAGAGAACAATTATAAATATCCTCAAAAAGAGTTGTTGTCCAAGAAATAAATACTACCACTTGGCAGATAAGGGGCATTATTACCACATTAGTCCTGTCACCAAAAACTGCCCTATGGCTATCACAGAAGGATTTGTGAAGCTAAAAGGAAGTCAAAGATCCTCCTCTCACAAGGTATGGTGGGCATGCCTGTAGTCTCAGCACTGAGTTGTTTACATGTGCTAGAAAGCCTAGACCCTGTTTCAAGAAAAGAAAACTCCTCATCAATAGCAGGAAATATATGGTGTTAAAAAGTGATGTTAAGAGTTAGAAATATACATATTGTTCCAAAATACAGAGATAAACACAGCAAGAAACAGTACAGCGAGCAGAAGAAAATAGCTTCCCTGAGCACATTTAAGAGTGCACTGCTCTGTGTACAATCCTCCTAGGACTACAGTGTTCCTTCATCGTTCTACTTCCCTCAGTCTCACTTTGCATGGTCGAGCCTGGTCCAAAAGTACCACATGGAAAAGTGCAGAAACACACAATTCATATGTCTTCACTTTTAAGTTATAATACAAATGGTGATTAGAAACACTGGATAATAAACTGCACCAAAATAATGGCTATTGCAGTTTAATTAACTTTTCTATTATTTATTGTTATTAATCTCTGATTTGCCTCATTTATAAACTTTATCATACCCTATGATATATACATATATGTATATATTCATATGTGCATATATGCATAATACATAGATATGCATGTATACATATGCATATATCATTGGGTATGATTTATAGTTCAGATATCTAAAGGTCTTGGAATATATACCTCATATATAATGGAGAATTATTAAATTTATTTTACAATCTATGCATATAATAAAAAATTTTTTCAAGCCGGGCGCGGGTGGCTCACGCCTGTAATCCTAGCTACTCAGGAGGCTGAGATCTGAGGATCGCGGTTCAAAGCCAGTCCAGGCAGGAGAGACCACCAGAAACCACCAATAAACCACCAGAAAAAAAACCGGGAGTGGCACTGTGGCTCAAGTGGTAGGGTGCTAGCCTTGAGCTGAAGAGCTGAGGGGACAGCGCCCAGGCCCAGAGTTCAAGCCCCAAGACCGACAAAAAAAAAAAAAAAAATTTCAGTCATGTAAAAGCATGACGTTGAACCTTTACTCTATGATCTATTTATTCTCTTCTCATTTAGAGTCACCTCATCAAATGAAGTTCGAATCTTGGTTCCTTGAGGAGGGAATTATTTAGTTCAATGGATAGAACCCCAGAACTGCTAGGTTCCAGCACTGAGCTACATCTCTAGCCTTTCGGTTTTTAAATGCCACAAAGCTTACTTTGTCTAGTCTGAGCCTCAGGAAATGCCAAATGAACCTATAGACAAGAGGGCCTTATGAAGAATCTTGGGAAGTGACTACAGTGGACTTTCCTAAATCCACAGCACTAACTCTTTTGGTAATGGCACTATGCTGTTCATCCTGGCAGGCTATTCTAACTTGCTCATTTTCAGCCAGTATTCATGCTGTGACATTTTTCTAACTCCATCATGGTCTGAGAGATCCCCATGGACCATTATGGTTGAATGATACATTCTGCTCTTTGCTACATGTTAAAACTAAGAGACTGACTTACTTATAAACCGTATACTTATTTCAGAAACATTAAGATATGACAACATGTTTCCAAGAAATGATTTTTTCCCCACACATACTGCTGGGGATTAACCCTAGGGCCTCATGCATTCCAAGCAAGCACTCTACCATTACACTATACACTTGGCCCAGAAGTGATTTAAGAATCAATAGCTAGTGGCGCTGTAGCTCAAGTGGTAGTGTGCTCGCCTTGAGCTGAAGAGCTGAGGGACAGTGCCCAGGCCCAGAGAGTTTAAGCCCTAAGACCAACAAAAAAAAAAAAGAATCAATAGCTTATCAAAGCATAGCTCAAGACTTCAAAGCCGGGGCAGGGAAGGTGGCTCAGTGGTAGAGCGCTTGCCTTGCATGCATGAGGCCCTGGGTTCAATTCCTCAGCACCACATAAGCAAAAAGAAAAAAGCTGGAAGTGACGCTGTGGCTCAAATGGTAGAACGCTAGCCTTGAGCTGAAGAGTTGAGGGATAGCGCCCAGGTCCAGAATTCAGTCCCCAGGACCGGACCCAAAAAAAAAAGACTTCAAAGCCATTGATTCTCAGGATTAGAAGAAACATTAAAAACTCATCTGTGTGCTGGAGGGGATGTGGACAGAAAGGAACCTTACTTCATTGTTGGTGGGAATGTAAACTTGTTCAACCACTTTGGAAAGCAGTATGGAGGTTCCTCAAAAGACTTCACATAGAGCTCCCCTGTGACCCAGCAATCCCACTTTTGGGCATTTACCCTAATGTTTACAAACAAGACCACACTAAAGCTACCAGCACAACTATGTTTATTGCAGCATTATTTACCATAGCTAAGATATGGAACCAACCCAGATGCCCCTCAGTAAATGAATGGATCAAGAAAATGTGGTATATATATACAATGGAATTCTATGCCTCCATCAGAAAGAATGACATTGCCCCATTTGTTAGGAAATGGAAAAACTTGGAAAAAATTATATTAAGTGAAGTAAGCCAGGCCCAAAGAAACGTAGGTCCCATGGTTTCCCTTATTTGTAATATCTAGTATATGTACGAGTCAAGCGGAAAAGGTCAGATAATGTGATGTCAGGAAAATGAACCCTTAGATGTGTATTTTAATGTTTTTTTCTTTCATGCATGTGTTTCTAACACATTTATAAGATTATCTCTTTGTTGCTTTGTATGTCCCTCCCCCACAGTATAACCCCTGCTTTCACTATATTTGATGTCAGTATAACTTGTGGAGGAGATGGGGAAAAACCAGTTGTTTAAGGATACAGGTGGACCTGTTGCAACAATGAGAAGTACAAGTTGTCATGTCCAAAACGAGCTTTACAACGTTAGTGCGGGGGTGGGGGGGTGGGAGGGGGGGAAGGGGGGGGGAAGGGGGGAAGGAGAAGGATTGGGATTGGGGGAGAGGGGGGAGGCTGGGAAGGGATATGAAGGGTAAACAAAGGAGGAGGCTGCAATGCTTGGTAAGAAATGTACGCATTATCCTGCCCAAGTAACTGTAACTCCTCTGTACAGTATGTTCACAAATAAAATTAAATTAAATTTAAAAAAAAATCAGTGCATAAGAACATGATTACAAAATTGAGCAGTAATTGTTTATCAGGCAGTTTTACCTATTTACCCCAAACCTAAGTGTACATATGTTACTGTAAACAGCACCCACCTTCCTACACCTAAAAATGTCTATAGTTCTATCTAACTTTTTGGTTTTTTTTCCCATTCATTATCTATTCTTATATTATTTTGAAGATTAAAATGTTCCCCAACTGCAAAAAAAAAAAAAAAACTCATCTGTGCAAGCTTAAAACAACCCAACTTTTTCTAGGTTCTTTTTCAGTCTATAAGCAAATTTCTACCCGCTCCACAGAATGGAGGAAGTTCCAACAGTTCCTACTTCTCCTGTCTAGGCACTCCCTGTACAAAGTCATAAAACACGCTCCTAAATCGTGGGATTCAAAGTCCAGTTCGTTACAAATAATTTTTTTAAAAAAACAACTGAAATAAGTGACAAAGGCTAAAAAGTTTATCTCTGGTCTCATGACAAAGTCTAAGTGGTTTGTCCAGAATTAAAACATTCAACTCACTGAGGGCCCCAGGCCCCACCTTTCTCCTGTCTCTACGTGGGCCCAGATAGTGCTATCTGGGTCTCACCAGATGGAGAAGGTAAGTGAAGAGGCAGCAAACACGGAAGCTACTTCCACACTGGCTAGGGGCCAAAAGACTGGGAAATGCGTAACCACACTGGCGAACCATACGCAGTTAAAAATCCTAGAACCACAAAAGGGGAAAACCGAAATCAAGGGACAAATAGCCATCTCTGCCACACTTGCAACAGACCCAAATCCCTGTGCCACAGAATAGAATGGATCTGTCCTTACACCCTCAACAGTTATTGAGACAAGTTTTCTTAGAAACCAGGATGCCTTAAATTCAGATCCCTTTTGCAGGTATCCTGGGCCAGACTCACACGACAAAAACTTTGAGAGGCATGGCCCCCGACAGCATCCCTGAGTTATGACAACTGGGAGGGTGCAGATGCAGCGGACAGCTCATGGACGCCTCTTAAACCATACTGATGCACAGGAAAACCGAGCTTCTTTATACAAAAGTGCCCAGTTTATTTTTAGTCTGGATTTGCTTTTCAATGCATGAACCCCCTTCGATGGCGCACATGCTAAGATTAATGGTAGTTGTGCTTTGGTATCTTGTACTAAAATTTGCATTCAGATTTTAGGGTGACAATCTGGGTAATACTTGTGTTAATAAATTCAATTGGGGACACCATTTGAAATAATGTGTTTGATGTTTACCATGTGTTGGGCATAGTTACTTGCTAGAGCTACTACAGACCTATTAGTAGT